TAATTGTTCCTGCTGATTCATGTATCTCTCCCCCTCTCCGCTTCCCAAACCTTTAGGCAAATAGTCCTCTTTTAATTTTTTTAAAGGGTACATGTATGTACCTACATGTTCAAGTGTCATATTTTTATTTTTATTTTTTTTTATCGCAGTCAAATGTTTTTAATGGAAAAGCTGCTCCACGGGATATGGACATATATTAGGTTGGGGATGTCACAGCCACCATTCAGTCAGCACCAGCAGCTACTGCTTCTGTCACTTTATACAGTGGATCTTTGCTTGTAGGGGTCTTCCAAAACCTGGACCTCAGTTCACCTCTTGTAGATGCTGTAAAATATATGTCTTTTTCTTCTGTGAATAGTGCCTTCAGAAGGAAACTAAACTACTGTTGGCACCCAAAGTCCCCCATCTGACCTGGAATCTGCCTGACATGCCACTGCTTTTATGCATTCCAAAGGATGCAGAATGCCCTCTAGAAGTCACAGGCGGAAATGGGTTTTCCCTACAAGGAATTCCTGTTTCTCCCTGGCTCCTGTAGAATATGCTTCATACCACTAAAACTCTGTGGGCCCAGTTTATTTTAAGGCTTCTGGCTTGCTTCCTCTCCCATGAAAAATGTGTTATAATGGTGCATTGCACAAATTCGTCCTCCAAACTGGGACTTCAGATTGCATTAACATGGCTACAAATTGTGTGGTCTCTTGAGAGAGGAAAAAAAGGCAAGACAACAAAGCTCAGTGCTTTTGCTTTCGACCCAGATGCTGGCTGTCTTGTCTTGCAGGCAGAGAGAGGGAAGGCTTCTCATCTTCCTCTCTCCTCCAAACCCATAGGGCTTTCATGTTGCAAACAGCTGTACTCCAGATGGGCTTAAGACTGAGAAAGCATACTAATGCTCTTGGCAGTGAACACATGGTATATGAACATACATGTGTCTTTAAATACTTCTCATGACCATGGGTTTCCAAGATGCACGTATTTCATTCGCTTTTTTGTTGTTGTTTTTTGTTTGGTTTTTGTTTTTGCTTGGCAAAGCATGACGCTACCCCAAGAAAATAATCCTTCTGTTAGTTAACCATCTAAAGTCTTTCTGTCCAGTGTTTAGTTCTTTGGACTTGCAGTTTTGGTGTAGGTAGGATCAGATAAATGTGGAGGTGTTGGGCAAATATTATGCTGAGAACACATATTAAGTACATGGCAGGTATGACTACACCTTGCTCTATCAACATCTTTTGGTATCATAACATGTAAACATTCCTTCCTTCTCTGTTTTTTCCTCTTGGTTATTTTTAGACACTTGCCCTTCACAATACATATCCAGGGTTCACCTTTCCTCTCCTTTAGAACGCTGGCTGATAAAAAGGCTTCCATTAGGATAGTAAAATATAAGCTTTACTTGGAGAAATCTTATGTAGCAAACCCTGTGCAACAGAAGAGACTACACATAGAGCATGGTGTCGGAAAGTAGGTTCTGCTGGACAGTCAGCAGAGAAAAGGGCAGAGGTGGGAAAAGCTTCCAGAATTCCCTAACCGTCTTCTGGAGGCTGTCATTCCAAAAACAGTAATCTTCCCCCTCTCTGAAAGAGAAGCCATGAAAGTAAGGACAGAAGGCTCAGGAATGGAGTAGAATAGGCATAGAGCTGAGAAATCAAATCCAAAGGGATGGATAGTTAGAAGAAGCAGAGTCAAGAAGGAAAGGAGATGCTGGGGTTTTTTGGGGGGCGGGGGGGAGAAGAGTTAATAAGAGACAGATTGTGGGAGGGTAAGATTGCACAGAGTCAGAGGAAGGATCTGCTTGTATGTTGGGGACAGAAAGTGAGCAGGGCAGCTGCAGCTTAAAAAACAGGGTTCGAAGATGCCCCAGGGCCACCACGGAAGGGAGTTTAAAAAGCAAAGCCTGGGAAAGAGACCAGACCTTCAAAGAATAATGGCAGTGATAAGGGCCTGGTCGAAAGCGGGACTGAGGGAAGACTTCTCACACAGCACGAGGTCGAGATGAACGAACGGTGTGCTGTTAGAAAGAACAGTGTGTATCTCTGCACATGTGTGCATAAGAACAGCAGGGGATGGGGGAGTGTTGGGTCAAATGAGCCAAGAAGGCACTGTAGTTTATATTTTACATATTTCTTTAATTGTCTGGATCTCTGTTCCCTTTGTTGAATCTTAGACATTGCTAACATCTCACCACCCAACCATTGCTTTAAAGCATGATTTTCTCTTGATGAAAAGACGCATGCCTTATTCCCCACATGCATACCAGTGCCATGGGGGGCATGTTACTTTCCCCTCATGGTAGGGTCATCTGAGGGTCATATGGAGAGTTGACCCTTGCCACAACCCCAGACAATAGGACATTGTGAGGACAGGGGGTGAATGAGAGAATACAATTATTTTCCCGGATTGGGCGGGGGGGGGGAATCTTCATTATAGATGTTGAAGAGGCTTTGGAGGGTAAGCAAGGTTACTGGAGTTGGTGGGTGCAAAACTGAAGGGGGTCACACACTGCTTCCGTCCCCTTCAACCCCCATGCCCAGAGATAAAGAACCTTTTATGGATGTACATGGCGTTGTGTTTTCCGCATGAAAGGCATGCTCGTTAGCGGTACTTTAAATAGCTTTTCAGAAAGACTAACGAAGCCTGGATGGGGGGTTGGGAGCAAGCAAGGACAGGCCTTGTTGGTGCTTTCCTTCATCCTGGAATATGGGGTCAAAGGGGAGCCTGAGAGCCATGCAGACTGTGGGGTGTCTGTAGTCTTGAGGGATGGGCCATGGAGGTCTCTGCATAAAGCCCCCCCCCCCATGTTTTGTCAGCAAAGCAGAGTTGAGTCAAAATGTGGGGCAGCCCACAAATTAAAGAACTGGCAATCTTTTGTTTTGGTCCATTTTTATTCTGCTTTTCTGTCAAGGAGTCAGAAGGGCATGCGTGAGGTTGTTCCGTTTTGTGCTCATAAGAACTCTGTAAGGTAGAGTAGTTACTCTAAAAGCTCCTGAATGGAAGAGCTAGTGAAAAACTTGTGATGTGTTTTTAAGGCACTTATCTCAACTTATCTCAACTACGCCATCATAGGCTGTACTGAATGATAGTTGTATGTTATGCTGACATTTTTTAAAGAAAGAGAGTAATGGGTAAGAATGAAGAGAAGTTCATCTTACTGAAAAATCAGAAAGCGGTATAAAGACTGTACTTTTTTTTAAGTGCCTGTTTGTCCTACAAATACAAAATGGCTTTATATTACCTGTGAGTACTTTGAGAGATGTAGCAGAATTGTCATGCTCGGTCCTCCACACATTCTGTAGAAGAAGGAGAGGGTCAGAATAATGAATTATGCAGAGATGTAGCAGCCAGACTCCTTTTGAAGCATTGTTTATGCAGAGATGTCAGCAGAGCTACCTATCCTTACATGAGGTTGTAGGTTGAATCTTCGCATGAGTTGCTGTACCAGGCTTTTGTCATTCCCTTAGAAGACAGCCATAACAACCATGTGTTGTATATGCATGAACATATTCTCCTCTAAAGTCAGATTATGGATACACTTGCAGTGAAAAGAAAGAAATCTGTTGTAGGCATGCACAGGCTCCCTTTCTGTTCAGATCTGCCCCATTGTAGTCCCCTGACCATGTTGCAGATTAAGTGGAGAAAGAATTTAGGTGTGCAATGTTAGCATGGGGTAAAAATAGCTTTTCATAGACAGGTACTAGATGGTTTAATGGGTAGCCATACACACACGCCTTCTGTCAACATTTTCTGTGCAGTGTTTGGAGATCTTTTACATTGTGTACCATTGCTGGTAAATGCCTTAATTGTATGGAAGTGATTTATCAAATCTTACAAGATATGTATAAGTATATATTGACACTCTCCACCCTGTGCTTTTGTGACTCGAGGCATTGCTCCTAACGTTAGTAAGGATTCACCTCTTCTCTTTAATTGTAGATAAAAAATTATTGACACACAGTGGTTGTAATCCTGTTTGTTATGCTTAAATTTTATTGCTTTTGAGCTGAATTGCCTTCACTTAAAAAATCAACATAAACATTATGCGTTGCACATAGAGTTGTGCAACTTGGCATGTAACAGAAAATGTCTATGGTGCTTTCTTAACCGGAGGCAGTTTGCCTTTGTATTATGCCAGCATGAAATTCCAGTATGCGTTTGGCCCTTGGTAAAGTTGGCATAGAAGGAGAAAACCAAAAACTGGTTTGTGAGAAGTAGAGATTTGTATGCAGTCAGGTTCTCCCTGAAGCAAAGGAGCACAGGCATCATGAGGGAAGGCTAGTAGCCATGCTCCTATTTTCCCCCTCCACGGTTTAATATAGACATGGAAGAGTTACTAAATCCATAGCACTTTTTGGGGGTGGAAAACGTGCCTCTGGATGTAATGTGAGGAAGAAATGTATCAGCTATTAAATTTGGAGAACATCACATGAGACTATTGCATGGTGCCATCTCTTTCAGAAGTGCGGCTGGCACTGGAATATCTCAGGCCTTCTCTGTAAGAAGACATGCCTGCTCTGGAATCCCTTCCCTCCGGAGGCCCTCTTAGCTCACTCCTTCCCAGCCAGTCATCAAAATAACTTCCTATTTAACAGGGCTTAGACATTGCTGCAGGGGCTTGAGGAATAACTTCAGCGTACTGCTCTTTGCCCTTGTTGGCAGATGTAATCTATTATGCTTTGGAGTTATGCTGTTTTAATGTGTTCATTTTATAGAATGCAGACCACAGAGAACTTGAACTGCCTAGTAAACTGAAGTTTCAAATGAAGGTTTAAGTAAACAAAGTGACACTGAAATAGAATTTTCAGGACTGTTTGTGTCTGATCAGTAGATGCTTTTGACCAGCATCCAGAAGTGAGCTCTTGCTATCTTGCTAGGATTCTTTATGTGGCCACCTGAAACAGAGGATTAGGCATTAGGATTCTTGGTTCTGACTTGACAGTTTGTGCTCTTTTTTGGATGCAGAGTTTTCCTTTCTAGGACTGACCTCTCGGCTCTGGTTTTTCTTGCAGGGTACATCCCTAGCTACTTGGACAAAGATGAGCAGTGTGTTGTATGTGGAGACAAAGCCACGGGGTACCACTACCGATGTATTACCTGTGAAGGCTGCAAGGTAACAAATGCTTGGAAAGGAGCAGCTCAGCTGGATTATCTCGCCCTAGAGTGGCTCACTAGAAAGAAGTGTGCTCTTTGGATGACAGTTCTGTATTTCATGAATCCACTGGATGATCACAGGGAGCTGTTGTCTGGTGACACCGCACTGGGGTTGTGTTTTTTGTTACAGGAAACGATGCAAGGCACTTTGCCTTTTTGGTAGAGGGAAGGTCAGAGGGTGGGGCAAGTGAGGAGCCCATAAGATTTTGGCCAACTAAATGAGCAGGAGTCCTCTCTGCTTCAGCTGTCTTCTGGCCAAGGTTCCTTGAGCAGTATGGAAGGATGGACTGAAGGGTGAACAGAAAAATGAAGGATGTTATGTTTCTCTTCCACAAGCTATAAAGGTACGTGGAGCAAGTGAAGCCAGGTTTTGATAGTAGTGGAAATTAGGACAGTCATTGTTTTACACAGCACCCAGTAACATATCTTGAAAGCAGTAAATAAGAAAATGTTTCAACTGTGAGAGAGAGGATTTTGAAGAAAAAGTACAGATAGCTTTTGCAAGTTGAATGAGCAGATTTTAGATGGGGAGATGAGGGTGGAAGAAATAAGTTGTGTGGGAGAGCTGAGCAAGGCAGCCCTGGATGTTATGGGTCCTGCAGCCACAAAAAATCCAAATTGCACCCCTTACATTAATTAAACAGAGAGGGGCAATCAATCAGAACATGCTCCTGCAGAACCCTCTTTGTAGTGACTGGGCACTCAGCAAGGACATTGCTGTTCTCATTGCACCAGAGATCATGTTAGTGTATCATGCTCTAAGAGAGCAGACCTATCTCTCACTCTCTTGTCCTTCGTGGTACAAGAAATCCATTACTTGAGGTGAGTAAGAGCACCTCACCTTATCCTGCAAGAGGGTAATTTCTGAGTCCAATAGGAAAGGAATATATGGAAAGAATAAAGAAAAAGAACAGAAGTTAAAGAGAGAGGAATCATAAAATGTGGGCAGAAAGACAGAAGGAGGCTATGCAAGACAACAGCAAAAAAAGGTTTGTGTTTTCTACCCCAGCATTGATTTGTAGGTATTGCTCTGAACACAGTTCTTGAGTTTTCTGGGCATAGCATGTGAGTTTCCCAGGCAAAGAATTTTTGGATTTTATTTATTTTAATTTTGTGATGCTGATTGTAGCTTAGACATTGAGTTCTCTTTACTCTCTCTCCTTTCACTTCTGTATTCATTTTGATATAAAAATTAGACTCACCCACCAATACTTTATAAGCAAACAGAGGTACATGTTTTATGAGCATATCCATGTTTCATCTGGCTCATAGAATGCAGAATTCTGCTCCTGGAAATTACTGGAAGAATATCCTTTTCCGGCATTTCAGTCTGGTGAGAAGTTGTACGGATTTTGTTTGGATGGAGAAGGGCGTACAGGGATCAATAGGAGAATCTGCATGGAGATTTGTGTCCACCCACCAATTAATTTTAAATAAAAGCAGTCCCACTGCCTTATTTTAGTGCCTGATTTTAGTGCTGAAATTAAAGATGAATTTATATGTGCAGTTTATAATGGAGAAGTACACCTGACCAAATAATTTTTTTTCACCTGTTCAGTAGCTGTTTCTCTTCCTTCTACCTTTAAACTTAGTAGTTTCTGCTTCTGAGGCTTGCCGCTTGACTTCACAGAAGTTAATGGAGACACCCCCTCCATTTTCTTTTTCACACACTACCATTGAGGTTTGAGAATTGCTCTCATATGATCTGACATTGTGTTGCACTGGATAGTATCTGCAAAAAGTGAACCATGTGGGCTCAGCAAAGGATTTGCTTCCATCTCACAGAAAGGTATCAGATTGTAAACCAGAACTCCTGGGTCCTGTTTTGAGGTCATATGAGGGAAAGAAGTATAAGTGCACTCATTTCCTCTTGGCAGAACATGCTCCTGAAATGGAACTTGCTAGTAGCATTGCCACCAGTTTCTTTGTAAAGACATTTTTTTAAACCAAAAAGAGGAAAGGAAGAGAAAAATGAACAAAACAGGAAAAGAAAGCCCAGGTGTATATTGTAAAAAATGTAAATTTGGACTCCATAGTGCAGTCAAAAGGTGTTTTAGTGCCCAAGGCAGAATATCCATATGTTGGAGGTTTTGGTTCCTGTTATGTGTACCCAGAATCACTCACTGAGTCGGACTGCTGGCTCTGCATGCATGCAGCAATTAAAGATGGATCCTGAGTCTGAAAAACATGAAGAATAAATGGCAGTTTTGGACTTCCTTTGTGGAAGGAGTGGGGAACCCTTGGCTCTTTAGATTTTTTGGACAAAGTCCTAGATTGCCCTGCTAACATCTAGGATGGGTTGTGCAAGAAACATCTTGAGGGCCTGAGGTTTTCAGTCCCTGTGTTTAGGGTTGCATGGTATGCTGATCCAGCTTATGCTTCACCCACCAAGATGTTCTTCTCCATAAGCCTTGCTAAAGAGAATGGGAGAAGTACAAAAGCACAGTAGTAGGAGGAAAATGTTCTAGTGGATCTAGTCCTCTATTTATCAGCTCGAGGTCAAGCAGCAGCACTTTGGACCTTCCTCCTCTATGGTACCACAATGTCTCGAGGCAGCCTTGAACACTACGTTTCCTCAAGTTCCCCAGTCTGGTCCCTTCCAGGTGTTTTGAACTGCAACTCCAGTGCTATTTGGGAGCCAAACTTAATTGGGCTTTTGGGAGCTGTTGCCCTAGACATTTGGAGGGTGTCAAGTTGTGAAAGGCAGATCAGTGCACACAAGCTAGACTTCCCACTGAAAAACACCATTGACCCTCATTGTCAACAGAGACAGAATGAGATAACTTTATCTCTGACTTATGTATATTCCTGGAATTGCTGTTTACAATAGCAGAGGGATCAGTTTAATATAGCAGAAAAGATGACATTGATAGAACTGCAGCAGAACTTTACCCACTTTGTTCTATTACAAAAGCAGATCGGTAGACAAGTCATTGGGTAGATCTTGGTTTGGGGAAGGAAGTGCCGACAGCCTGTCTTCCTGGGGCTGCTTAGTTCTCATTTCATTCTCCCCACACAGGGCTTTTTCCGACGAACCATCCAGAAGAACCTGCACCCAACTTACTCTTGCAAATACGATGGCTCCTGCGTCATTGACAAGATCACCCGCAACCAGTGCCAGCTCTGCCGATTCAAGAAGTGCATTGCCGTTGGCATGGCCATGGACTGTAAGGGCATTGTGCCCACTATAGAGGGCTGTGGGGGTTGGAAAGATGAGGAAGAGGGTAATCACAGTGCCTTATCAGAGACACCATGAGAAGGAATAGGGCCAAGAACGGGCAGGTGTTTGGGTGACCAGGGGTGGGATGTATGGTGCTTGGTGTATAGACTTTTAATTTTTATATATGCAGCCCTTGAAGGGTCATGAGGGCATCAAGGCTTTTAGCAGGTGCCCCAGAATTGTATAAGGTGTTGCAGGAGTCTGCCAATCAGAGTGCCTTCCCCCTAAGGCTGTTGGGCACACTGGTGGTAGCAGAGAAGGACTGCAGGTTGCAACAGGCACCTCACAGGGTTCTAGTTGGCTATGTGTGAGGCCCCACCTTCCATTCACACCTCTCCATTCTTCGCCACCTCCTAGTGGTGCTGGATGACTCCAAGAGGGTAGCCAAGCGGAAGCTGATTGAGGAGAATCGGGAGAGACGACGCAAAGAAGAAATGTTAAAATCCCTTCAGCATCGGCCAGAGCCAAGTGCAGAGGAATGGGAGCTGATCCACATTGCCACGGAGGCACACCGCAGTACCAATGCCCAAGGCAGCCACTGGAAACAGAAGCGGAAATTCCTGGTAAATGTGGTGGTGGACACAATAAGCAATGTTGTGCCAGAGAGTTGCTCCTAGCTTCTCGGAGAGTTTGGGGGGGGGGAGAGACCTTTTTGGACCACAGCTCCAAGAACCATGCCCAGTGATTAGACAGGATGGCTTGGTCTGTGGCTGTCAGCACTGTTACACTTAGGCTCCCCGCCCTCATCTCTGAATATTCTTATTGAGTGTCCTGGTTTGTTACCACAGGTTAGTTACTCCTCTTGCCTCTTGATCTGTACCAGCATGTTGTGAAAAGGTAGGTCCCAAGGAGTGGAGTGGGAGGTCAAGAGCATTAACAGGTTGGGGGCTACTAGAACACCGGTCACTCTAAAGCAGGGGTCTCCACATTTTTCACAGTGAGGGCCACATAATATATTTTCCATATTTTCGAGGGCTGAAGGAACGCACGCATGCATGCACTCCCGCCCACCTGCATGACCTTAAGCAAGCCTCAAAGTCCCCAGGTGCCCCCAGAAGAAGCTTCACTGACTAAATAGCTCAGTGAGTTAAGTGTCTGGCTGCAGAACCAAAGGTTGGGAGCTCAATTCCCTACATTGCCTTCCATGAGAGGAGCCAGCCTTTGTGGCCTTGGGCAAGCTGCAAACTCCCCAGAAAAAAAATGATAAGCCATTTCAGAGTACATTTTACCTAGAAAACTCTGAAAAGAGTCACCGTAAGTCAGAAGCAACTTGATGGCACATTATTATTACTTATTGTAATAAATCTTATACATTTTGTTTCCAACACATTTAATATTAGTTCTAATTACTAGATCTTGTTGAAAGCAACGAGACTGCCATTTCTGGCAAGTCAGTACATGAAAAGCCATTGAGATGGTAAAACCAAACCAATTCACACCGGAGAGGGCTAAACCACTTTGCACATTAAAAAAAAATCGAACATACTAGGAAAAAGAATTATAGACTTGGTGTCTTTGTGAAATATTTGTTCTCTGTGTGTGGAAAAACAAAAAGGGATTCAGTTGGGTAGTTTTCCATTTCTAGCACAAAACTGTATAGTCTATATTCATTTTTATTATTGTAAATATATGTATTTTTTCTTTTCGTCAGGGGTCTATGTGATGATAGTTTTATTTCAAATGTGTACTCTCTGAAAAACCTCATTACAGTGTAAGGGTAATAAATGCAAATTTTGCATTATGGGACAATATATTCATATATATTTTTTCTGAAGCAAAAAATGGAATCCAACAATTATTGGGTTGAGGCTTCAGTTTTATGATATTCCAAAGACTTCAGTTTACTTAGGTTAATATTTCTGTCTCAACTAGTACTAGTACTGTTATGCCTAGACACCATGAGAAAAATCTGCAGTTCTTGAACTGCGTTTGTGTCTCCAGAGATTTAACAGCAGTATATGGAGATGAGAAATAAAAAAGCTGATCAGTCCGATTTTTCAGTTAAAACTAAACATGAGCCCCCCCCTCCCCTGCTCAACATGAGATAATGTTGGGTATTCTTGGCAATCCAATTCACATCTCTAGGACTATCTTCAATAGTTTCCTTGAGTGATGCTTATTCCTTTAGAGTAGTAACCCTGGCTATTGCCTTCTGCACTTTTGTTTAGACCAGCGATTCCCGACCTTGGGTAACCTAGGTGTTCTTAGACTATAATTCCCATAAGCCTTCACCACTAGCTATGCTGGCTGGGGTTTCTGAGAGTTGCAGTCCAAGAACACCTGGGTACCCAAGGTTGGGAACCAGCGATTTAGACAAAAGTCAAGCTCTTCCTCTGTCTCTCTCTATCTCTCTCTGTGGAAGTGCCTACTTTCAAACACTGGAAGTGTCAATGAACAGAGGATTATTGGAGGTGGAGACTATCTGGGCAAGGCGATTGAATTGAGTCTTTCTGAGGAGTGATTTAAATTAAATCCACCCTGCTGTCAGCAAGTTTTCCTCTTCAAATACTTTTTGAACTAGGCCTTAATGACAACTAAGAGGGACTGGAACCATAGAGTGTATTTTTTTTTCTTTTTCTTGATTAGAATTTGATAGGATGCCAGAAGCTGGACAGTAATGTTTTGAAGATCAAACGCAGCCCATTGACTATTAGTTAACCACCCCTAGTTTTTGTCCTTTCCCTTTTATCATAGTGTAGGGGCTCAAGGCAGCCCACAGGAAGATCAAAAAGCCAGCCAGAGAGAGGGAGAGAGAGATGAAACACAATACAGGCAGGCAAAATTACTTGTAAGTCAGTGGGACATATGCAAGATTATGTATGACTTTCTAGATGAAATCAGTTTTATTTAAAACTACTTCATATCTGTTGTGCCCATAGGTGATGTATACATTAGAATAGACTTTTTAAAAAAACAAACATGAAAAATTTAGTCTTGGCACTTGTAGCAAGCTTAGACATCAGCATATATGGTAATAGATCTAGGGCCTCCCAGAAGATTTCTCCTCCTCTTCTAGCTTAGCAAATGATTCAGATCTGCAGAGGGGCCTTTGAAGGGTTAAACTGACTGAGCAAAGGGACACAGCTGTGACCTCTTCTCTCTGTCCAAGGGCAGATGGGCCAGAAAACCCTGACCCAGCCCCTTCCCTTCTCTTCCCCCCTCTTTTTTAGCATGGCTGGGATCCTTGATTTGCAGTGCCCTCTGCTGGCCACGGTCAGTTAGTGCCAGGCCAGGTCAGGACATGGAGGTCACAGGAAGTGGGGTTTTCAAGTAGGGAGAGGAAATCAAAGGCTGACATGCTGAGTGGAAGAAATATTCCTCTCTTACAAACTCTTCTCCTCTATAGAGGTTTAAAATGCTGAACAAAATCCTTTCTAAATGTGGGAGGGTCAAAAAACTGACCAGATAAACTTTTCTGGAATTCAAGCCAGGGATTCTGGGAAAGCATCTTAGTACACTTATAATGCTGAAGCTAAGCAGGCCCTGCTCTTTTAAGCACTTCCACTGGAAGAACAAAATGTACACCACATTGTGCCCTGTCGTAAAGGAGCAGTCGACCACATTTACACCCCCAATATTTCATCAGGATTTGTCCATATACTTCCATTGTCTTTGACAGCACTGTTTGTCCTTAGTAGCGAAGCCGATCTTGAGGTCCCCGGGACTCTGGCACCCATCCGTTCAAGCTCTGCAATCAGAGTTCAGGAACAGTCCCTGTCATCTTAACTACCTCTCATTCAGAGTTTAGAAATTACTCATTTGAACTACAACGCCCAGAATGTTGGCAAGGAAGTTCTGGGCGCAGTCGTCTAAAAAACCCCAAAAGTTTCCTAGCTCTGCCTCTGTTTGCAAGGCCATTGAGGCACCAACACCAAAACTGTAAGCCCTCGCTCTTCCCTCTGTGCAAGCCAGGGAGGTGAGAGCTGGTTTCAGTGCTCAGCTTACAAAGTACTCCCATGCACTTTGGGAAGGGAACCTCAAAATCTTCCTCCCAGAATTTGACTTGAGAGAGGCAGAAGGAAAACTCCAAAAGCTGCTCTCTTGTCCTTTTAAAGCCCTTGAGTGCTGTGTGAAAATGAGGGTGATTCTTCTTTCTCTCCCCAGCAGTAAGGTTTGGAGGAAAGCTTAGCAAGGGAAATGGCGGATCCCTAATCTTTGCAGCTGTGAGAGCTGGGAATTTGCACGAGGAAAAGGAACTGAGATTCTCAGGATCGTAGCATCTGCATTTGTACAGTATGATAGCAGAACAATATAAATAGTTTTCCATAGGGTGCTGTTACACTATGAAAATGAATTGGGAGGTGGATCAGGTTTTTCGAAGTCACAAGGTAGTCACGTTGCTTTTTTTGGGTTGGGGTGTAGGTCCCCTTGGGAAAACTTTTAATGTGTTATCAAATGCTGTATATTGGTGAAGGGGGGGCTACACAGGCTTTTCAAATCATTGCATTTGAAGTTTTGTCCTGCCCTCACCCCACCCCCCCTACGCTGGCTGCCTCTCACAGCCACGAGCCAGTGCTTCTGTGATGTTATTTTTAATTATTACTGTATTATGATTAATTACATTCTTACAATGTGGGATAGCACTAGTTTAGTATGAGAGACAGGGGGGAAAATTAAAACAGATGTTTCCCTGCAGTCTGGCACATGCACATGGAGATGGATAGATGCACATACGCGTGCACACTGGGGGTGGAGGAGGAGAGGATGGCACTGGCAGCCGGCCTGGGGAGGCATAGGAGGAGTGAGTGGCAAAGAGAAACTGACCAAAGACATTGACAAGGTTCTCAGCTTTTACACACACAATTTAAAATCAAGGACCCTCTTGGTTCCCAGAAAAATACCTCACTTTCCAAATAAAAAAACACACTTCACAGGTTAAAAAAAATCCACACTCCTGTGCATCGTGTAGTTGAGTTTTATTGAAATTGATTTTAAATTTGCTAGACCTGATTCAAAAATGGGGTGTGTGTTTTTTTGGACGTGTAACTAAGCCCTTAGTAAAGTTGAACCGGTTGAGGGGGAGAGAGGAAATATTGAAAGCTAGGATATCTTTGTACAATTCTGAAATGAGGGTGGTTTTCCTATGGAGGGAGGAGAGATTGAAATCACCTTTCAATGGAAACTAATTTCTGCTCATCTTGTCTTCTCACTCCCAGCCCGAAGACATTGGTCAGTCACCAATGGCCTCCATGCCTGATGGGGACAAAGTAGATTTGGAGGCATTCAGTGAGTTTACGAAGATCATCACCCCAGCCATCACCCGTGTAGTGGATTTTGCCAAAAAACTGCCCATGTTTTCAGAGGTAAGCAATGAGTGGGTAGTACCAGAATACCCACTCATTGGAAGAACAGCAGGAGAAAATGTTCATGGTTTTTGAACTCACTGAAAGACCCAAACAAGAATGAACCTTCTCCTTACACTGCTCAGAATTCTATTGGTTATTTATGCCACCATATGTGCAGTGGCATAAGTTGCAGGGGCAAATGGCTGCTACTTAACCGGTCATGCTTGTATTCCTGGCCATGTACCAGTTGTGTGATTTGGCACACACTGAGGAATGTAAGTAGTGACTTGTTAACCAGTGGCGTTTGTTGCTGTGATTTATGTTATTGCACTTAACACTGGCATAAATTATGAATAGGATTCTGGTGAAAGACAGTAAGAAGAATGGCCACCATACTGGAGCCAGCCTGTCACTTTCTCTCACTCTTAATGGGTGGAGTGTTAGCAAAAAAATATTAAAACTACATTTTCACTCCATTCCTTCTGCCTCCAAAACTGTGGTTTCAGAAAATTTTGTCCCACCTGCAATTTCCTACCTCCCCTACCTCAGTACCTTGTATTTCCTAATCTCTCTCTTCCTGCATTCACAACCTTTATAGATAAAATGAATGAGAAGAACAGTGGTCAGATTCTGGGGTGGTGTTGGTGTTTTGATAGGTATGTCTTCACTAGATCTTGTTATACAGCTTGTTCTGTGGGACAGGTACAAATGTGTAATCGGATGCGTGCTAGATTTCTATCTGTTTATCAGGTTGAATTGCTAATGGATTGCACTGAACTGGGAAGGCAGTTTTCATGATCGTTTTTGGTAGTGTTAAAAGATGCTCTTAATTTTCAAGTCAGAAGGTTTTTACTTTCAGTAGATGTTGCTTTCATCTTTCTTTCTGATTGGCTAGGATAAACCCTATGATCAGTCCTAGATATTCTACCCTCCCTTCAAATAGCTACATTTGCTTTTTCTTTAATAGATGCATATTGCTAGGTAAGATTGATTGTGTAGTTTCATAATATTATCACACTCATTCTGTGACTTCCGATTGGCTGGATTCAGTGTATGAAGGAGAAAACCCTAACCATGTGGAATATGGCAACAGATGAAAATTGAAAGCAGCAGTAGATTAGACAGACAGACAGACAGGGAGGGAAGGAGGGAGAGAGGGAGGGAGGAAAGTTGTCTCAAAAATCAGTCTCAAAACTCAGTGGGTGACAATTTAATACAGCCTTATTGATGTGATGGAGAAAATCCAGAGTTATGAATTTCCTTATAAATTAAGACCCTGGTTTGAGTGCCTCCCTTAAGAAATGTGAAGCTGGTTTTCCATAAAGTACCAAGCCCTTTTTCAGCATTGACACTTCAGTTCTCAACCCTTCAGAGAGTAGTTTTCTGTTTTTTACTTTACTATTATATTTAATTCATTTTATTTAACTGCATTAAAGACACATTTAGTGTTTAATATGTCTGTGCAAATAGTAATTTGGCAGTTGTAAGCTGTCTTGTATGCCTATAGAGTGAAAGAATGGCTACAAAGAAATAAGCAAGCTAATGACAAGAACCAGGCAGACCAGTCCAAGGAGAGGTGGCAGGAAGGTTCTAGGACCAATGAAGAAAGCAGAGAATGCATGTTACTGCAGTAACCTGCTACTCAGGCATTGTCCTTTGTTCCTCATTGTTGTCCTTTGTTCCTCATTTAGATTTGATTCACACCCAAACTTCATGGCCATCTTGGTCCTGGGACCAAATCTTCCTTGTTAAACTGCGACCTTTGTCCTTGCTGTGGTCTTCCGCATTAGTTCTGCACAATGTGGAAAAGCATTCTGTTACTTTTCAAGCTGTGTCCCCTGTACAAAACTCTCCTGGTTAAAAGGGCAGCACTGACTCACACCTTTCTTTGCCTTTAGCTGCCTTGTGAGGACCAGATCATCCTTTTGAAGGGCTGCTGCATGGAGATCATGTCACTTCGGGCAGCTGTGCGCTATGACCCTGAAAGTGAGACTCTGACACTAAGTGGTGAGATGGCTGTCAAGCGGGAGCAGCTAAAGAATGGCGGCTTAGGTGTGGTGTCAGATGCCATCTTTGATCTGGGCAAGTCCCTCTCTGCCTTCAACCTGGACGACACGGAAGTGGCATTGCTCCAGGCTGTACTGCTGATGTCCTCAGGTACTGTAAGCTGATTGGATATGTTTTCAGTATGTTCTTCCTCCTCCCCACAATCAACCCCATAGGAATATACAGCACTTATTCATATTTAGATGCACAAGGTCTGTCCAAGTGAGTGTTGTCTGCCGCGGTTGACACTGGTTTTCTGGGTGTCATACCATAGTCTTTTCCAATTCTATCTAGAAGATGCAGGAGATTGGCCCTGAATCCTGCTGAATGCGATGCATGTGCTTTACCACAGAGACCTTTAAAGGGTGCAGACTTGCCCTAATTTGTGCCGAGGCTCCTGAACCACTGCTGTACAACATATCTGGGATGTGTTTGGATATTAGGTGAAGTCAATGTATTCATGGAGGAGCAAGGAGAAGGATAAATATAAGATAGAAAAGAAGATGTCCACTTAATGGCTAAGTCAAAAATTTGTACGTTAGAGTGCAGTGGCTACTGTCCACTGCCCAAATAAGGTTAGGGTGGCAACCAGAACCTCCTTATCATTTGAAAGACCCCCAGGTTGCCAAATCTTCTGTGGCTCAGACTGTATGATGCAGGCAATACATCCTGGGCATAACAGGGTGGCAGATTTGGAGGCCTGGTGGGTAGAGTAATATGGTGCCTACTTGGGGCAAAAGAGACACCCAGCCAGTTTTGGGAAAACCCATGTGTTGCCTGGCCACCAGAGTGGATAGCAAGTCACCAGATTTCTGAACTCGGGCCAAATACAGAAGAAAAGTAGGAAGCTGTTTTTTCTTAACTCTAGCTGCTCAATCTGAAATTATACAATGGTACCTTGATTTACGAACTTAATCTATATTGGAATGGTGTTCGTACGTCGAAAAGTTCGTAAGTCGAGGCAAACTTTTCCATAGGAATGCATTGAAAACCATTTAATCCGTTATCTGCTGTTTTTGTTTGTATGTCGAGGCGCTGTTCGTAGATAGAGGCATTAGTTCCCATACGAACTAATGCAAAGTCGGTTAATCCGTACTCTACCACTAGGGGTGAATTTTTTTTAATTTTTTTTCTTTTGACCTAAGATGAACTTAGGTCAAAAAAAGGGCAGGAAACTTTTTTCTCTCTTTTTTGGTTCATAAGTCGATGCTCCGTTAGCAGGTTGAAGCAACTTTTTGCGAATGGAGCCGTTTGCAACTTGAATCGTTTGCAAGTGGAGATATTCGTAAGTCAAGGTACCACTGTACTTGTTTCTCTTCTAAAGAAAGAATGGGAGCTAAAACCGGCCTGATCTCTCTCCCCTTTTCTGTTTAACTTGCAGACCGCAGTGGGCTGATCTGCGTTGACAAGATTGAGAAATGCCAAGAGACCTACCTGCTGGCATTTGAACACTACATCAACTATCGCAAACACAACATTCCCCACTTCTGGCCCAAGCTCCTCATGAAGGTGACCGACCTGCGCATGATTGGGGCTTGTCATGCCAGCCGCTTCCTGCACATGAAGGTGGAATGCCCCACGGAGCTCTTTCCCCCACTCTTCCTCGAGGTCTTCGAGGATCAGGAAGTCTAGGGTGTGGGGAAGGAAGGGGCAAACAGGGTGGCATGGGAGAATTGGGGACATGGGGCAGTTTGGGACTGGGGCGATGTCTGGACTTGGGCCACAGCGCCCCCACCTCATCACCTCGGACATAACAGATTTTCAATTTTTTTTTTGTTCTGTTTTGTTGTTTTTGTTTTTCTTTTCTTTTCTTTTTCATTTTGTTTCCCTAAATATTGCACGTCAGCATCAGTGAATCACATGGATGGGGAGGCCAGGGGCATTGTCGATAGGGGTTGGGCCACCACAAAAATGGTTGAACTATACAAAACCTCCGTTGTAAGGTAGGCTTGTGCGGTAGCCAACACTTTCTTTTGTCTAGGCAGACTTTGAAAAAATAAGTGGGACGTGTGTTTCCCACTACTCTCTCTCCCCCCCCGCCACACCCATGTGTCTTGCTTCCTTTGATCCCATGCTGTCTCTAAGCTATCTCTGCAGGGTGAGATATCCATCTTTAATTTTTACACAATATTAAGAGGAGGAATCCAAACCACATTTTACCCATTTCCCTCCAAAATGGAAGAAAAAAACCCTTTGTTCTATTTTTCCCATTAAGAAAGAATTTTCCTGGCCCCACAGCACTGGAAGCAGTTGGCACCTCTCTCCCTTAGCCCTGATCAAACCTCTCTCGTTTAAATGGACTTGATTACCAATATATATAAATATATATATGTTTCTTTTGCACATAACAGTCCCAGGAAACGTCAGAGTGTGTTTGGTTGTTTTATTCTTGTCTTCATTTTCTTCTAGAACTTATAGCATTTAGTTACCCTCCCTGGGAGGCTAAAATATAAAATGCACTTTTTTTGTAAAAGAAATAAAGTTTTTTTAAAAAATGAATGAAAGAAAGAAAAGGAACTGAGAGAGGAAGAGAGAAATCCTATTAAATTATTGGGGAGGCAGGGGGGCAGGGGGAGGGAAGTTACAGATTTGGCAAAAAAATAAATAAATCACAAATTGAGGCTCGAGGTCCGAGGTGAAGGACGAATGCACTTTGAAAAACAGAGACTCCCCCTTTCCACTCCTCCCCTGTTGGAGACACAGGTGATTGAATTAAAAAAATTATTTTATTTTGCTTTGAATCGCACTGCAGGGCTTGAGTTCGAAGGGTGCCAGCTTTTCATTCCAGTGCTGAAGGGTATCTTCCCCAACCTTTCCTCCCTGCCCTTGAAAGCTGCCCCCCCC